AAAAAAAAAAAGTAGAGCCGTATTTTTCTTAGCTTAAGAGGGAAATTAGCGTTTATTGAGCGCCCTCTTGTGTTAGACACTATTTCGTTGACTTCGCAGAATAGTTCAACGCGGAATTAGCCTCTTTTAATTGTGAGGCGAAAGAGTAATTCGTCCAGGGGCACGCTGCCAAGTGGTAAGACTACTTTTCCTAAAGGCTGCGATTTGTTTCAAGTTAACAGAAGTTACTTCATTAAGTAAAGATTGCAGTAGTTTCCGCCTTACTTAAAAATCATGAGTGGAGCCCCAGTGTTTGCAGAATGAAGTCCAAGCGTCATGTTGGGGCCCAGCCTAACTGCATCTTCACTTTCCCCTTTTCTCCATGTTCTGCTGCCCTCTGGCCGCACGGCGTGTATTCCTTGCCCAGGGAGCTGGAGTTCCTGGGTTTGCCCTACAGTATACAGTGAGGATTACAGAAACTGGTCTTAAGGAGTCAGAACTTGGGTTTGAATACCCCGATCTACCCCTTACTAGCTGAGTAAATCTTCAGGGTTTCTTACTGTCCACAGGACCTACATTTCCTTCTCTATAAAACAGAAGTAATCTCCTAAAGTATCTCCTAAAAGGGCAGTCATGAGGATCAGGTGAGATAATTGATATATACCATTGTTTGGTCACTTTATACTTCCTTCAGTATGTGTTTAAAAAAAAAAAAAGTCTCCCTACGTGGCTCAAAAGTTCTTTGACGACAAAGACTTTTTCCCCCAACAGCGACCATAATTTTTTTTTTTTTCGGTCACACCACTTCGTACTGTGCATTTCATATATGAAAGGTGCTCAGTATTTGTGTATGGATGACTCCTCAGGTTCCAAGCCTAGAGAATGGAGAAAGAATCAAAGTATGCCTCATGACAGAGCAGGGTGGTTTGGTGATTGGGTGATTTGAAGTACCTGGTCCACCATTTATGACTATGTAAACGTGCCCAGCCAAATATTTTACATAGAGCGGGTAATTAATTCGTGTTTGTTTTATTTTTCCCAGGTGTGATCTTCACAAGTTATTTAATCACTGAGACTCTCACTTTTATCATTTTTAAAAGAGACATAAACATGAGATTTTTTAATGTGAAATTATGTATTTATAGATGTCTGTGTATATATATATATACATATATATATATATTTTTAAATGTTTTTATTGGTTTTAGAGAGAGAGGAGGGAGAGAGAGAAACAATTGGCTACCTTCTTCGTGCCCCCTACTAGGGATCAAGCACACAACCTGGGCATGTGCCCTGACTGGGAATCAAACGGGGACCTCATGGTCGATGCTCAACCATTGAGCCACGCCGGCCCAGCTATATATTTTTTAAATTCTCACTCGATATTTCTAGAGGAAGGGGGAGAGAGAGACATCAATGTGAGAGGAAAACATCTGTCGGCTGCCTCCCATACCTGACCAGAGAACGAACCTGAAACCTAGTCACATGCCCCAACCAGGAATTGAACCCGTAACCCCTGGGTGCATGGGACAAGGCTCCAACCATGGGCGATATTAATCCATTAATTCACCTGTCAGTTCTCTGTGAGGTCCTATCTTGCTGACCTTTGTTTCCCCAGGACCTAGGCTATACTAGTTTCAGTAACTATCCATTGAAGAAATGAATGCAAGCTCCAGTAACCCCCAACAAATGGGTTAAGGAATGAAAAGGAAGTTTACTGCAGGACAAAGAAAAATAGCATTGCATCAGACAAAACTGAATTTAAATTCGAACTGCCATTTGCTAATTCTGTGAGTTTGAACTGATAAAGCAATTTTACTGATCATGTTTTAACTATAAAAATGTAGTAATACTTGTAGTGTTACTGAGAAGATTGAGATAATACAGGTCAAATTTGTAATACAGTGCTTGGCTCTTGGTGGACTGTTGCTTAATGGTAGCTATTGTTTGTAACCTCTAAAGACCCATTCAAATAATGGTTTAAATGCTGGAAGAGGCAGGTAATATATACGCAATTATTATTTTAATTTAAATGTGTAATTTGTGAGGTGACTGGTATAACAACTGGCATTTATTCATGCTTACTACATGCCAACCATAGTTTGAAAGTTTAAAAAGATATTTAAAAATTTATCTTTATTTTTGGAAGTATTACAGATGTCCCCCTTTTTTTCCCCATTGACACCCTCCTCCCACTTTTTAAAAAAAAATTTATTTTTTAAATGTATCTTTATTTTTTAAAGTGTTAAATATGTCCCCCTTTTTTTCCCACTGACCCCCTCCTCCCCATTTTTAAAAAAATTTAAAAAAAATTTAAATTGATTTTAGAGAGAGAGGAAGGGAGAGGGAGAAACCAAGAAAGAAACATCGATGTGAGAGAGAATCATTAATCAGTTGCCTCCTGCACATGCCCCAGCTGGGGACTGAGCCTGAAACCTGGGTATGTGCCTTGACCAGGAACCTAACCCTCCCCCCTTCAACGCATAGGACAACACTCCAATCAACTGAGCCACACCAGCCAGGGCAGTTTGCAAGT